TCTGGTATTCAGCATATCTGTAAGGCAGGGGTAGTCAACCTTGGCTCTTTTATGACTCGTGGACTTCAATTCCCAGAATTCCTGAGCCAGCTTAGCTGGCTCAGGAATTCTGGGAGTTGAAATCCACGAGTCATAAAAGAGCCAAGGTTGACTACCCCTGCTGTAAGGTATGCCATACAGTACAACTGTCATGTATTCACAATGATGATTTTTAAAAAAATACAGGTCCCTTTATCTTCATTCAACATACTCCTTGACTGTTGCCTCCTCCTCTTTACTTGTTTCTCTTCTACAGAAAAATAGCTAGCATGGGGGTGGGGGGGGGAGAATCTGTGCCCTCTTAAGCAGCCTTTCCTAAACTAATTCTCTCCAGATGTTTAGAAACCACAATTTTCATCAATCACTCTGGCTATTTATAGGGGATTCTGAGAATCGTACTCCCTACATATCTGAAAGAGAACAGGTAAGAAAAAGCTTACCACACACAGACATCTAAGAAAGTGCAAAAAGTTCATTTCAAAACTGCATGGCTGTTTTCTTAGAAATGTCCTCTTATTTCCAAGACAAAATCTAATAGCATGAAGCACCCAACGAGGAATGCAAAGAGGATTAATAAACCAGGTATGTGATTTATTTAATTATTAATGAAGGCTTCCAGCATCGGTCCTGGTTGTCATGGCAATTAGGGCTGCTGCTAGCTTCCAGAAAACATAAAAGAACAGCAAGTGCAAGGCCGCACATTCCTTTTAGTCTTGCTGATTAGCCGGGCTGTCAAAAGAAAGGAAAGGAAATCAACAGTTAGAAGACAAGATCTACAAAGAGAAGAAACGTACAGCGAAACTGCTCACAAGCTGCAAATGTAAGTACTCTTTATTTTCCAAAACAAAAAGTGTACATTGGTTATATCAGAAACAGAGAAAAGAAATGTCTGGTGCTAAGAAATAAGCTGTTCCACGTCAGCAGCATTGCATCACAGTCAACCAGAAACTTCTGTTGTCAATGGAAATGTAATTCTGAATCTTGAGTTTTGTGCTGCTTTGCTATGAAAAAATTTATAAGGTCTTCTAAATAAGAACAAGCTTTTTTCACATCTAGATGTAGAGCCTTGTACAAAATAAATGGCAATCCAGAATTATTGCTATAGGATGTATGTATCTATGGTTGTTTAAGATGATTTATAGGAACAAAAACCAGTATCCCATCACCTCTCTCCTTAGTCAACTGCCACCCCAAAAACACTTTTTGAAATACTATGGGATATGGAGGAAAGGCTGCTGGAAGAAGAGTAAATGGGAAACATTTTTTCCCATTAACTTCCTTAACAATCTTCTACAGATTTAGCCAAAAAGAACTTTCCTTAGTTCAGCTGAGATCAGTCACAGGCTGATGGGTATCAAACTGCAATTGTCTGAGGCTCTAAGTCTGATTTGATGTGTCTCGTTTTATTCTTGAGGAACCTGCCATTTCTTATCTCACCTTCTTTAGAAAACCCCTATCCCGACTTGTAGAAGCACAGGTGTAAAAAAGGATCTCCCTAATAAAATAGTAGGATTATAGTTTGCTTCACTTATACAACTTCCAGCTCTATGTAATATAGTCAAAGGTGCGATTCTATGCAATTATTTGGCTCTGAAATGGCTGTAATTAAAATGAATATGTTATAAATGTTTTGAAAAATTACAGAATTGATTGTAATGAAAAGAGATTTTTATAAGTATTTTTCTGGAAGAAAGTCCCTTTGAAGTCAATAAGACCTATCATGGACTAATTTGGGCTGCTTTCAACCACATGAGCTTTAAGTAGGGTTGTGCTATTATTTTATGGGTCTGTTTAATGGATTAAGATAATAAGAATATGGCCAAAATAAAGTTGGTGCCCTGTTAAGTGTGCCCTGAATGCATGATAAAAAGTAAGTATATTATGCAATAAATAGATTGTTTTCTATGGTATGTTTTCTATGGTATGATGTGATACTTGTGTCTATTGAATAGACACAAGTATCACAATGAAATAAAATTAATTCTTTAAGAATTATTGATACCACATTCCAGTTTTAGAACATTTTTAATGTTGCTTCTCTTGAATTATTTGCCAACTGGTAAATAAATCCTTCAAACAACATGAAAGAAGAAGCAAAGTAAAATTGAAATATATTCCAACTGATTGCAGAACAGAAGGAATTCCCAGCAAAATTCAGAGTGCTCATTTTGACCTTTCAAAACTTTTTCCTACATATAGCAGTGAAGGTATATTGATGGAAATTAGTTATGCCAGTTTAAGCCACAACTAGAAATACTTAGAGCTGCCAGATTTGGGAAGGGTGGGGGAAAACAGGGAGGGAGGTTTGTTTTCTTTGTCTGTAGATAAATGTCTTGAAGAATTACTAAGGATGCTCTGTTTCTTGCCCAGATGAATTTGGCCTATGCTGTAAATACACAAAGAACCCAAATGTAGGATTTCAAACTTCGATGAAGTTCCTATGAGAATAGATGCTATGCTAGCCAGAGTTCATGGAATACACCGAAATTTAGGATTAAATTTGAATATAGTTGCTGTTTACTTAGGGTATTAGATAAATAGATAGATAAAGGTATAAAATTATTTGGGATAGCAGATGACACTATACTGTTGGATAAATAGTACCAGTATTTAATATAACTAAATTGTGAAAAGGCAGTCCAGTTGCAGTTTTTTTTAACATCCAGAAACTCTGTACCTACTAATTTAAAATTTTATTTCAGTAATCTTCTGAAATAAATATTGAAGATTTATATTTGTTGGCATTAGCAATTAATCCTACACCAAGCAATTTTTAAAACGTGCTATAAAAATATATTTTGAGGCCTATTGAAGGATACCTTGTTAGGTGTTGCACTTCACTATACAATAAGTTAGTTGCCATTTTTGCAATATGCCGTTCAGTGATTAAAGTTTCCTGGCATTTTATATTAAATCTTTTAATTTTGAATACCTAACTTGCTCAATCTCAGCTTAAAAGTCTTCCAGTATCGGTACAAATATTTCGTGGGAGTGACAGGCTGCTATGATACCACATGCTTTAAAACAAACATTGGCATTTGCAAGTTTATTTAAAAAAAAACTAATTCCAGGAACTGAATATGAGGCCTGTTTTTTTCCTATATATCTTATCTAATTTTAAAAAGAATATTATTTTAAAATGTTTTTAAGCATAATAAACTACTGTGTGATTAAACTATGACCTAGGCATCTATATCAAAAAGCATAGCTATGATTGCATAATATTTTAAAAAAATAACATTGTCACTATGATGTCACTATGAGGTGGGCAATAGTGTAAAGAAAATGAAGAGAATAATTTTAAATGAATCAAAAATATGTTTTACTCTTCCCCTATGGGTCAGGGAGGAGTGCTAGGGGTCAGTATACTTAAGAAGGGTGCATGGGGAGGGTTGCAGGAGTGTGTGAGAGGTGCTGCCTGGCTTGGGACAGCATCCATGGAATGCCAGTCAGGAAAGGTGCCTGGGGGTGTGCAAAAGGTGTGGATTGAGGAGGTGCGCAAGAGGTGCTGCATAGGTTGGGGAAAGCACGAGGGGACAGTGCAAAGCGGAGTGGGTGAATGGGGTGTGCATGATAGAACAGAATAATAATACATGGGATGCTGCTGGTTTGGAATAAGACTGAAGTTGGTGACCTTCAATCTCAACTCCCTTTTAAATTCTTTATACAAAGTTTACAAAAGAGTTGCAAAAACTGCCTGCAGAAACAATGAAAGTCTATCTATCTCGTGAAAGCTTTTGGACCAGTCCTCATCCATAAGTAGAAGACTACCCTTTTTGAAACATCATTGTAATGGGAATAAGTTCTGATTACTAGAAATTTGCTTGTAGAGGCAAAATACAATTCCAAATATTTCAATCAAAAAACTATAAATCAAGGATGTCACTGCTGTCTTAATTCAGTTAGTTATTTTCCAGCCAAGTAACTTTTCCGAGAATACATGGAAAATAAGGTAACAGAATGTTACGACTGTTTTAGAAAATGATTGAATGGGGTTACTATTGTACTTTATTTTTTAAAAAACTGCTGTGTAGATATTTGGGTTTCCTGGGTTTTTCCTGGGTTTCTGTATTTTCTAATGGGCGGGAGAATTCTACTAGTCACCAGCCTGTGAGAAAATCAGCATAACTACCATACTATTGATACAAAACTGATGCCTAGCGTACATTGTCCCTTGGTCTGGGTCTGAAGTTATATTTCGTAAACCCCTTGTAGATTATATCTTTATTACTGTATTTTTTTTCTTTTAGTTTTTAATGCATTATCTTTTCTTACATCCTGCCAGCCTGGAATGGAGTAGCATAGAGATTTTAGTAATAATAAATAAATAAAGCTTATTTGTTTTTCAGATCCCCTGAAGTAGCTGCATGTGGCCCTTACATATACTTATGTAAGACATGTTTCACTATAACAGTCTTTGAACATCTCTGACCATTACCAGGCAAACAGATATGCATCAAGCTTAACCTCAAGAAAAGTTCTGGAAAATTAGTTCCAGGCACATCTTTCATCTGATTATTATATTTAAGCCTGCAAGAGAGTTATACTGAAACCTACAAAGGAAGGAATACAGCTCTGCATTAATATTTGGACATATCCAGCCTTTTTTTAATCCTTGCAATGATCTTATCAATTAGATCACTCTTTCCCTCAAATTTACAAAATGAGAAATGAAACTAGAAGACAGTGACTTACAGTCCTGATGGAAGCAAAAATGAAAAATGGGAAAATTCCATTAAAGAAATAAGGATTTCGGCTTGAGTTTAATCCATGTCTGTGCTGTAAAGAGGATAGAATAAATTTCCAAGAACTACTGAACTCAACTCTCAACCATTTTATTGTACTCCCACATATAACTGGATGTTGTTTTGCTTTGGAGCAAAACCTGTTTTCTGATTGAAATGTCCCCTCCACTAATTTAAGTAAGTGAGGGTCCTAGAGCTATCAGTGCCACAAGAATTATGGCTTTTTCAGCCCACAGGAATAATCTCTTTTTGATTGGTCTGTTAAGCTTCTGTGTAGATAGTTTTATGTGCAGTGAAAAAAATAACACACTTATTTTTACCAAAGAAAATACAATTCGTAAGTGCATGTGTCCTCCTGATACAATTAATGATTGTGATTATAGCCTGGCAAATCTAATTTGTAACTGTAAGACTGTTTTGCCCTATACAGTAGACAAAACCTACTACGATAATTTGGTAATTTGGTTCACTGAAACTGATATATTGAGAATCTTGTTCAATGTTACATCTGTGCACAATCTAAAACTCTCACTCTGTGGCACTATTCCTTTGACGACAAAATATTTGACTATTTGGGGATTACAAAAATTACAGATAAGAAGTGAGAATAATGGCCAATTAAAACAGCAAAGTTTAACAATCTCTACTAGCTGTGACAATGGAGCCCAAGGCAAGTTGAAGATGTCATACAAAGACAAAAACATGATTACTCATGTTGCTGTTTTAGACACATCTCTTTTCAATGGCAGTGGCCCATTGAAATCATACAGTGTAGAAAATATTTCCAACATTTCAGACCAGTTTCCACATTTGGACAACTTTTTTACTCCAAGTAACAAAAGTTGTATCATAACATTTATTTATTAACACACAAATCTTGGCCATTTCTATAATGTAGAAGTTATAAAATAAGTCATCCTGAGATATTGTAGAAGCTAAGCTTCTGTTGCTCTTTATATTGCAAAAATAAAAAAATAAAATAACAGGGAAATAAATTACCTTTAGTCATAATAGCTCCTATGTCAGTATAATCTACAGAATGCTATAAAAATCAAGCCTTTAACTCTGATAAACAATTATTGTTCAAGTCATGTTACATTAAAAATGTAGGCTAATTTATTCCATATAGGCATATGGAAGTTAAGATTTAATTCTTCTGAGAAATGTACCTTTTGAGTTGCATACAGCCTTCCTGATACTTTCTGTGTGTCCCTTTGAGTCAATGTTGACTTCTGGCAAGTACTCTGGACAAGTCCCTGTAGTTTTCTTGGCAAAATTTTGGAAGTGGTTTGCCATTGCCTTCCTCGTAGGACTGAAAGAGAGTAGCTGACCAAAGATCACCCAGCCTTGATGACTTTTGTGATCCTTTGTGTCTATAGTCAGACTAAAACTCATAGTGTTCCAGTTTCTAGCTTGGTGCCTTTAATCACAACATTAGCACTCTATTTTTATACCAGTCAGAAAAGAAATTCTTCCATTAACCAGTTTCCTCACTGAGTCTGAATGGTTATACAATTACAGAGCAAGCCAGGCCGTTATTCCATTATTTGAGACTGACTTTATATTGTACTTGTTCCAAAATTATTAATATTTGTAAGTCTGAACAAAATAAGAGACAATAGTTAGTAAGCCATGTTTGTTTGTCAGCTCATAAAGGTAAAATTGGTGTGTGGCCAAAAATGTCTTTCTATGAACCTGGTTTTCCCACTGCCAAATTTGCACAATTCAATTTACTATGTGTTTACAAAATCAATATATTTGATAGTAATTTCTAGCAAATATTCTAGTCCTAAAAAAATATTCTAGTCCTGGAAAACACCTTTGATATATCAGGCAAGACTTAAAAGAAACCATTTAAATATAAGTATACTGATCTAATAAATCCTTTAAATTAGAGAATAATATCCCTAAAAATGATTTTTTTTAAAAAAAAAGTTCTGGATTTCAACATTTCAGCAGGTTTCATTGTACACTGTAAAATGTAGATATAAAAGTGTTGCTGTTTTATAGAACAGAAAAATACTCCAGAATCTTTTTATTCCTACTGTATCACACATATGGCCACAGATGTTTATTAAAATTTCATTCTAAAATCACATAATTCTGAATTTATAAACATTCTTGAGAACATATTTGAAAAATGCACAAATCTGCTTTTGCATAATGGATTGCATTGGCACATAATTAAAATGTTTGCATTAAAGATTAGTATTACTTAAAATGGAATTGACTAATACCTTCTAAAATAATCTGGTTAAAAACTAGTGTTGTATGAGTGGACTTATAAGTATACAATGAACCCTGTTACTTCTACTACAATCCCATTCTATCTTTTAAAAACGTTCATTTTTCTAATGAAAACCAGTCAGGGAAGACACGGTATTAATTGCAATACAATTCATTAGAAATTATTAAAAATATAAGTACCATATTTAATCCCACATAAAATATTCAGATCATATGTTACAGATGCAATGTTTGCAAAGAATCCCATAATGATATGTTCCTTATTCCTGTATTGATGTATCAACAGCCACATTAAAAATCTTTGTAATCAACATGTAGGTTGAGGGTGGGCAAACTCAGTTACCTGTAGTCTTCAGCCCGTTAGATAACAAAATTATACATATTCAATGCCAGGAAATATATTGGAGTAATAACTAGAATAATTAAGGTAATGCTGAAGTTTGCTTAACTAATGCATTTCAATGAAAGAAATAACTAATAACTAGTAAAAACCCAGAAGGCAGGAATTACTGCAGATGGTTATGTGGTAACTATTACTGAAAGGCAGTGAAATTTTAGAAAGGCATAATTAAATCCCATAATAAGGAAAAAATGACCCAGAGATTTTGTAGCTATGCGCGTAACTTATATTTCCCAGAAAAATATCAAGAACTACTGGAATAGGAGCTATGCTGTTGGCTCAACAGTAGTAACTGTGAGACGGATCTTGGAATTCTAGTTGATCATCACTTAAATAAGAGCCAGCAGAATGTTGCAGCCACTGAAAAAAACAGTGCAATCCTAGATTATATTAACAGAGGGATAGAATCAAGATCATGTGGAGTGTTAGTACTACTGCTTTATAAGGCTTTGGTAAGACCACACTTGGAATATTGCATCCAGTTTTGGTCACCTCAATATAAAAAAGATGTTGAGGCTCTGGAAAGAGTGCAGAGAAGAGCAACAAACATGATTAGGGGATGGAAGCTAAAACATATGAAGAATGGTTGCAGGAATTGGGTATGTCTAATCTAGTGAAAAGAAGACCTAGGAGTGACATGATAGCGGTGTTCCAATATTTGAGAGTCTGCCACGAAGAACAGGAGGTCAACCTATTTTCCAAAGCACCAGAAGGCAAGACATGAAGCAATGGGTGGAAACTAACCAAGGAGAGAAGCAACCTAAAAATAAGGAGAAATTTTCTGACAGTAAGAACAATAAACCAGTGGAACGGCTTGCCTTCAGAAGTTGTGAATGCTCCAACATGGAAGTTTTTAAGAAGAGGCTGGACAATCATTTGTCTGGAATTGTATAGGTCTCCTGCTTGAGTAGGGGGTTGAATAAGAACAGGGCTTTTCAACCTTTTCACCCATTGTACCACTTTTAGGATATGGCAACATCTGAGTACCACCAGTCGCCTAGCAAGGTGTCAAAAATCTGATGACCAAAAAAAAAAAAGGGAAAAAAGTGATAAAGTACAGGTAGTCCTCGACTTACAACAGTTCGCTTAGTGACCGTTCGAAGTTACAATGGCACTGAAAAAAGTGCCCAAGCCACAGCCGAGCAAGACACCTGCCTGCCCACCCAGTGGCGCTCTTCCTCCTGTCCGAGGTTTTCATTGTTGTGAGCATTTCTGTTGAGAATTGGCAGTGGGGGTGGGGTGGGGGGTGTTTGGTTTTTATTCCCCCCGTCTGCTGGGTGATTGCAGCAGGTTTTGGTCACTGTAACCGTCATAAATATGAATCAGTTGCCAAGCATCTGAATGCAAATCACAAGATCCTGGCGATGCTGCAACATTCCAGCTGATCGGCGCTTCTTCTGGGCTCAGCAGAAGCACCAGAATCAGTGCTGCTTTCCAGCTAATTGGTGCTTCTTCAGGGTTCAGCAGAAGCACCAGGATCAGCGCCAAGCTCCAGCTGGACCCTGGCGCTGATCCTGGCGCTTCCACTGAGCCCTGACAGCCCCGAAGCGCCGATCAGCTGGAAAGCGGCACTGATCCTGGTGCTTCCGCTGAGCTCTGACAGCCCTGCAACTCCAGCCATCTCTTGCTCAGGCTTGTGCGGTGCTGCCACCAGTTCAGCTCATTCCCCTCCCCCGCTACCACTTTTCTAGGATGGTCGCGTACCACCTGCCAGGTGCCAATGTACCACAGGTGGTACCTGTACTACTGGTTGAAAAGCCCTGAACTAGAAGACCTCAGAGATCCCTTATTCTGTCTTAATGCATTACATTCAAATATTATTGTACTGATTACAGATAGAAGCAGAGAAAACAATCCTATTTTAAAAGTAAGAATAAACTTTGAATTATGATTTGTGATGATCTGAACATCAGAAATTAGATTTTATACCACTAATTCTTTAAGCAAAAATGTAAACAAATAAAAATGAGCAATGTTATTAGAAAAAGGTTTAATATTTTTAATCATCATCATTATCATCATCATTGAATGATTGTTTTAACTTTGTTGCATACTCCTCAGAGTCATTTGTTTTGTGAGATAGACACCTACATAAATTTGAAAAATAAATAAACACCAAAGAAGTATTCCATATCCTGCCAAACCTTTAAAGACAGGATACCTTAAACTCACTTTATGTAATATAGTATACATAGTTTAGTTATATATGCATAATTTAAAATGCAACGTTTTTGTATAAGATGAACACATGAATTGTATTTCCATGATTAAGACAAGTGTATATGTGCACCATATATGACAGATCTATTAACTGTATGCAAAGGAGTTTGCTAATATGTTACATGAGTGATTGAGGACATTTAAAAATGATCTTATTGATCTATTTTAATATGCTCAATAAACAATCTAGCAGAATGTATCTAAGAAAATATTTAAAAACAAAACTGAAATAAAAAGAAATATTCTATTAATCACACTTTGATATCAATATTATAAACATATTTTTTGTCTTCATAAAAAACCCAGGATATTAGAAAAAAGAAATTGCTGAGATTACGTAGAAGTATTGTACAATGAAGTTTTCAGTTTTGAGTTGATTACTTAGTATTAAAATTTCCATATAGTCTGTATGTGTGTGTGTATGTGTATGTGTGTGTGTGTGTATAAAAAAAAGTAAAGAAAAAATACTGTAGATAAGCAATACAAATTTAACAGGAATTTAAAAAACTAAAAGATATTTTTTAAAAAATAGAAAAAAACTATTAGGTTTCCAACTATTCACTTTTTGTAAATATGATAATTTATAATATTGTAGATATTAGAAGCCATACTGTATTTCTATTTGCCATCCTGTGTGCTGTATTATATGTACGGGAACCAGTCTTGCTTAAATTTGATTAAACCTCTATTGTGTATGTATACTAGTTTTGCCACTGCAGCATAATGGGCTGCAGCATATTCTCAAAGTTTAAGCTCCCAATCAGATAAAAATAAAAATATTCCCAATTCTATAGTCATTATTGTATTTTTTTCTCCAATGTTAAGCAAAATGTTGAGCACGTATCTCATTAAATTATGGTTTTTTCTGAGATTATATCTAATAAAAAAGGTTGTGATTTCATTACCAATTTAAATTCCACAATGTTCTGCATTGTACTCTGTATATCTTTCCAGTGGTTTGGGGTTATTTTACATGTTCACCACATGTGATAAAGAGTTC